TGACAAGATACTTGAGTGACAATGTATTGACTTGCATATTTTTGCAACACCCCAGTACATCTCATGGAGGTTTTGCACCATCACATGCCGACGTCATAATATACAGCTTTGGCTGCCTGTGGTTAGATGGCAGAACAATAAAATCCCTTTACTCTTGGGAATTGAATTCTTACTTATGTAACCTTTTACATATTGTTCCTGCTATCTAACAGGGCTGCCGTCAYGTGATGGTGCAAAACCTCTATTTACAYATCAGCAGATATCTATGAAGCCATCATGGGGTTAGACAGGCTGGATTTAAAGTGTCTGTGTTGTTAATAGTACTTAAGTTGAACTTTACTTATTCAACATGCTAATCTAGTTGGTGATGTTTTTCTCTACAGACGTCTGGACCACAATATCAGTCTCTACAAGGGTGTGGTTCAAAGATCTCAGTTACAACTAGCAAGGTTCCAGGTATGTTTCAGCTATAGATATTCTTCCTCTAGCACAGAAAATAAGGGGCTTACATGAGCTTGAGGAAGATGTAAAGAGACTTGAAGAGAGTTATGAATCACAGTGTCTTCTTTAGGTTTTATTTTATCCTTTATTTATTTTTAACTCTAAATGATGGTGGCTAGTCCCCCCTGGATCCCCACCCAGGATCCCCCCGGATCCACCATTTCCCCAGATCCACCTCCCCCCTACCCCCTGGACCCACCCTTGCCATGGTTCAGATTGCACACAGGTGTATAAACACATGCTACACTTTGGAGTTCTCCATTTTCCTTCAAACCTTCAAATGTTATTGATCCCTGAAACAACATCCGGGGTGATTAATATCAAGGCAAGGCTTACGCACAGATTGATTTTGGAATTTCTCTTGTTAGTTTTACTCTGATCTAGAATCCCTCAGTGCATCCGTAAAACAAGGTGCTAAGACCTCTTTTATAATATTTCTTGTATTGTCCATTTGATTTGTTGATGTAGTGGTTGTATGAAGATGATCTACTGCGCTGTCCCTTGAGAGGCAACAGCATGATCAGCCCTGCTAAAGCCAGCATCATGAACGACGTGAGAAAGGTATGCTGAACTGAACAAGATAAAGTAAATGATCTTTTCCTTTTTTGTCAAAGCTGATTATTTTTATTATACCATTATTATTACAATTATTATCAATTACAGCGGGTTCAGTCTCTTCGTCAACTGGAGCCAGCTGTAAAAGCCATAGAAGACAAGATCATAACTCAACAGTCCAGCATCGAACAGAGACTCTAGTGGGCAGCAGGAGCTAATCCAGCCTTGAACCCTGTACTAAAGGAGTTTGACAAGACTGTCAATGATAGAAAACAACTGCTACAGGTGATGGGTGGTCCTTAAGGACTGATTGTTTGTTACATCGCGAAGGGAAGGGGGGCTGCTGATGTTTTTCATGGGGGGTGGG